TATCTCGGTCTAGCCTGCGGCTTAGCATAGCCATGCTTACCTCGGTCATGTTGAAGTCTGACCATGGTAGAACCATCTCACTTGGTTTATGCAGTGAAGGTGTTGAAGGATAAGCATTATCTTTTAGGAGTATGAATCCTAGGAGGACTCTACATGGAGGAGTAAAAGTCTTACTAGGATTGTGCCACGCGGAACCTATAAAAGCTTACAACATCACCTATGGAGAGGTAACACAACTTTGATTCTTGAATACACAGAGCTTTTGTCTACTTGTCTATTTTACTGACTTAGGCATCGGAGAGGTTTTCGGCATACACCCGCCGGCTAGCTCACGTTTGTGCTTTCAGGGAATAAAGCGACGACGTTTGGAGGAGCACAGACTTGATCAACAGGATTATACGAGAAGGTTTGGTCCAGTCCAAGATCGGACTGGACTGTGCTGTTGGGCCCGTGGGGGTCCACCACGGGTCCCGTTTTGATAATCCGAACCGTTCAATGTGTAGAACTCGTCGAGTACTATATGCTTGTAAAAAATCACGTTGATCAGATATCGATAGCTATATGAACAAAACAGTTTTTTGTCAACCGTTAATTGTTTCACCGTCCATTTTTTTTTAATACAAAACTGATTTGATCACATAGCTATTGATATCCGATCAACGTGATTTTTTACAGGCATGTAGTACTCGACGAGTTCTACACATTGAACGGTTCGGATTATCAAAACGGGCCCAAAAAATGGGCCCCATGGGCCAAACTGGACGGGTCAAGTCTTGATCTCAACTTGAGACATGCTGGACCCTTCTAAAATTAAAATAGTTATTAATGATTTTGAATTAGATGTTATCGCTTTAATTGATACTGGTGCCGATCTTAATTGTATTCAAAAAGGAAATTAAATTAAATTTATAATTTATATGAGGGACTAAACAATCCTAGGGGGGTGGGATTATTTCCATGGATATCCCATGGGATTAATGTGTGAAATTTCTATTTTTGGTGAATCTAATGTTTGGTTGGATGAACTGGATAAGGATAAATGTGCAAAAAAAACTATTTCACCATTTTTTAATTGTTTACTAAGTAATAGCAATATTAAACATATCTTTAATATTTTAATTATTTTTAGCTAGATTAAATAAAAATTTGTTTTATTTTATTTTTTACAAAATTAAATAAATTTATTTTTAAAATTAAATAAATAAAATATCAATAAAAATATATGTTATTTTTTTAATTAAAATTTTAAATAAATTTATTTTAGAAAATAATAATAATTAAATAATGAAATTAAATAAAACATTTATTAAATGAGTTAAATTTGAGTGATGATATTAGAGAACAAATTGAATTGATCCAAAAACACTCAAGAAAGTCAAAATTGTTTAAGAAAGTCATGAAAGTCAAAATTGGCCCTCTTTTCCGTCCAAATATCTGACCACCGTTAATTATTGGACCATTTCAAGCCAAAATCTAAACTGTAGGGGCAAAATCGATGCAATTAGAAGCACATAGATCAAAATGAAAAAAATGGGTAAACTATAGGGACCATTTCTGTAATTTGCTCTATTTGCAATTTTTCAAATCATAGGGAACAATCTGTTCTTTAAACAAACCTCAGGAGGTGTATTTATAATTTATCTAAAAAAATTGTCCAAATCACATGGAACAATCTGTTCTTTAAGCAAATCTCAGGGGGTGTATTTATAATTTACTCAAAAAAAAAATTGTTCAATTTTTTTGTGTATATTAAATCCCTTTGACTATGAGTGTTATATGAATCGAGTTTGTATTTTTCTATTTTATGTATTTTTACATTTTTATATTCAATTTTGTAAATAAAAAAAAACTATATTCAATTTTTTTGTTCCTATTTCACCTTTTAAAGCTTTTGTTTGTTTTTTTTTTTAATTTTATATAAATTCTGTTTTTTAAAATTGATTAGTTTGTTTACATAACTTTCTTGTGCGTCCAATGCTCTTAATTTTTTATTTTTATTTTTTATAAAAAATAGTGTTTTTTTTTTTTTTTCGGGCTTTGGTTATTGTGGTTATTTTATTTTTTATAGGGTAAATTATGTAAATGGTTCCTGTAATCACTACAACAAAAAGCACAAATGGCGACTAAAAAAAAAAATTTCGTCGCTGAAAGTAGCACTTTTGGCGACTAAAATGGAATTAGTTGCCAAAAGTGAAGACTTTTGACGACTAAAATAATTTAGTAGCCAAATGTATAGTTATTGGCGACTAAAAATCAATTTAGTCGCCGATTATATGGGTTTTAGCGACTAAAGGTTTTTTAGTAGCCAAAAGTGACGGTTTTTGGCGACTAAAAAATAGTTTGGTCGCCGATTATACGTGTTTTGGCGATTAAAAACAGTTTGGTCGCTGAAAGTGAAGCTTTTTGGCTACTAAAAAAAAAATTAGTAGATAAAAGCAGGCAATTGGCGACTAAAATTTAGTTTTGTAGCCAAAAGGGGACTTTTTGGCGACTGAAAACAGGTTTAGTCGCCAAAACTAGTTATTTTTAGGCGGAACTTATTTTTTTAGCGACTAAAAAATAATTAGTAGCCCAAAATTATAGAATTGGCGACTAAATAATGGATTTAGTCACCAAAAGTGGCTTCAATTTTTTTTAGTAAATAATTTATTTTTTACATAAATTATATTAAGTAAAAATAATTATTTTTATATATATAGTCTTGTATTAATACCGGTCAGTATACTATATAAATAATATATGTTGCATTTATATTCCTTTGATGTTGTACTGGCATAGTGGGGAGAGTGTGTTGCTAAAGGTTTAGAATGTGGGAGGTTGGTGGTTCGAAACTTGGCAACAGCAGAGGGTAATTTTTTTTTTTTTTGAAATATGCTTTTGGCGACTAAAATGTGTTGTCGCCAAAAAATTGACTATTGGCGACGAAAAGCTTAGTTGGCAAATGTATAAATAAAAAAAAATAATAATTCACTATTGGCAACTAAAAGATTAGTCGCTAAATGTATAATTTTCAAAAACGCAATTGACTATTGACGAAAAAAGCTTTGGTAGTTGAAGACTTGTTTTTTGTCGACTAAAACATTTTCAGTCGCCAATACCTCCGGCGACCATGTATTCGCGGCAAAACCGGGACTAAAATATTTAGTCGGGGAAAGTGAAAAGTTGACTTTTGGTGACTAAAAAAAGACTTTTAGCGACTAAAAATTTAGTCGCCAAAGGTGCTTTTTCTTGTAATGAATTTATACAATATGTCAATTTGGTCCCTATTATTTTAATTTGCTTGATTTTGCCTTTTAATTTAAGGAATTGTGTTATATTGGTCTAATAAATAACAGTCGTTATGTTTGGTGGGCGGAAACTCAAATAATGTGTCAATTTAGTCCATATATTTTACACGATGTGTCAATTTAATCCATGTTATTTTAACTTGCTCGATTTTGATAGGGACCAAATTGACACATCATGTAAATTAGAATGACTAAATTGACACATCGTTTAAGTTTTCATCCACCAAACTTAACAGTCGTCATTTATTGGACCAATATGACACAATTCGTTAAATTAATGAACAAAATCGAATAAATTAAAATAATATAGACCAAATTGACACATCGTATAAATTATAAAGACCATTTGCATAATTTACCCTTTTTATATATAAATTATCTTTGATTGTAAGTGCTCTAAGAGTCTTGAGTTTGTATTTTTGTATTTTGTGTGTACTAATGTTAATTATACTTTTTATTGTCTTCATTAAAAAATAAAAGAAGATAAAAAGTTTCATTATGTTATCAAGTTCCTTGGGTAAAAAAATTGACTATTATTTTCCTTCGTTTGTATCAAAAAAAAAAAAAATTCAATGTAACTGCTTATTTTTCTTGGTGTATATCAATCTCTTTGACTGTGAGTATTTCAAGAATCATGGGTTTGTAATTTTTAAAAAGAGTAATAATTTTGCCAGAATTATTATTTTACTTTGTTTATATCAAAATTATATGTGTTCTCTATCTGTTTTTTTAATAAGTTTGTGATGTATGGTCATTTTTTTTTTAAAAAAAATAATATTTTTTTTTGAATTGACACACCCATCACGCTAAGGAGTGAAGAGAGATAAATTACACTTTCCGCAAAATGTGCCCTCTGTTTTTCTGGCATTTTCCCTCAAACATGCCCCTCTCGAGCTATGAAGCCATTCAACTTCTTCAACTCTACAGAAAAGTCTAGCTAAGTTCAATTTACCACTCGATTGCCCAGCGCTTGAGTGGTGGCTACAACTCAATCACGCCAACTCAAGCTCAAATGCATACTCTTCCCATGGTAACTCACATGTGTACAACGTAAATAACACAACTAACTTAAGAAAATAACATAGTTACATTAAAAGAAAATTACCTAAGTCATTACACCCTAATAATGAAGTCGTATAAAAGTAGATAGAAAAAACCTAAGTGGATTAAAGATGTCCCTTCAAGAACAAGAAAATACCAATTGCGATTTTGAACGTTATAGATCTATTTAGTAAGAGAAATGTTGAACTAAATTTTCCCTCCAGAAATTAAAAAAGAAAGCTATCATAAGCAATTGCGACAATGGGGATTTTGTTCTTTCTTTCTCTGCTCTCTGTGTCTCTCTCTATATGTTAAACAAGCTATATAAAACAACATATGGGAGAGGATCGTGCCAAAAGATCCGGTCTCACCATATTTTAATAAAATCACATGACCATATGTAATTCCTTATGCATCGGATGAGGAAAGGATTTTTCAAGAAATATTGAAATGGTAAACCTAACAACATTTTCTCAAACTAACCACCTCACTTGTTTTATGGCATCAAACTTGGCACATCCAACGATTATGGACAGCCAAAATTGCAACACATATATAGAAAACCAAGAAGAGGGGAGAAAAAAAAACCTTCAACGTGTGCATGGTTGCATGCAAAAACCCTAAAATTATTACAAACCCTAATTTCCATTTCCATGCTTTTTTGTTCACTTAAACCATGTCCCAATTCGATGCTTACACACACCTTAACGTCGCTCTCAACCCCGATGGCTCTCTCACTCGCCTCCTTAAGCTTCCCACCCTCCCAGCCTCTGATGTTGAGCTTTCAGGCCAGATCGCTGTGAGTAGAGACGTCCATCTGGACCACAAAAAGCAAACATGGATCCGAATTTTTCGACCAACCAAACTACCCTCCAATGACAAATCTGTGGCGCTGCTCCCCATCGTGGTCTTCTTCCATGGTGGAGGGTGGATTGATTTTAGCGTCGATAATGCCCTTGTCCACGAGGGTTGCAACCACCTCTCCAGTGAGCTCCCTGCCATAATCATCTCCGTGGCATACCGTTTGGCACCAGAGCACCGCCTCCCTGCGCAATATGACGACGCGGTGGACACGCTTCTCTGGATCCAGAAACAAGCCCTAGATCCCCAAAACGGTGAAAAATGGCTACTAGACTACGGTGACTTCTCAAGATGCTACTTATATGGGTGTAGCAATGGTGGCAACATTGTTTTCAATGCAGCATTACGAACCCTAGATCTCAACCTCGAGCCGGTGAAGGTCAAAGGTCTTATAATGAACCAACCCATGTTTGGCGGGCAAAAAAGGACTAAATCAGAGATAAAATATGCGGCGGATCAGTACTTGCCATTGCCGGCGATTGATCTTTATTGGGAACTGGCTTTACCGAAGGGGACGGACCGGGACCACCGGTATGCAAATCCGATGGTGAACGGGCCTTACAGGGAGAAGGTAAAGTCATTGATGAGGTGTTTGCTGATCGGGTTTGGGGGTGATCCGATGGTGGATAGGCAACAACAATTCTTGCAGATGTTGGTGTTGAATGGTGTTCCGGTGGAGGCTCGGTTTGATGATATTGGGTTCCATGGGATTGACTTGATAGACTCTCAACGTGCTGTTGCTGTTTTGAATTTTATTAAGGATTTCATTTGTTGATTTCATTTGATTGTTCTCTAATTTTGCACAACAACGTGGTACTGGTTGAATTTTGAAGGTGATGTCAAGAGACATGCATAGCATTGATTGATAATAAGATTCATTAAACGCTTAAACAAAAAAACAAAAAAAGGATTTAGCAGCTTCTGTAGATTGTTGTTTTTATGGGTTTCTTTTGCCTCTGTGTGTTTGATATGTTATTGGATAAATTATATTTTTCATTCTCAAAGCCTTCGTCTTTTAGTTTCTCATGTTTACTATTGCAACAATTAAGTTTTCAAAATTCATCTCATGTTTCATTTATTATTAAAATTTGTATAAAAGTGTTCACGTAATTGTCATAAGAACATATTTTAAGAGTGCAAGTTTCTTATTTTTATCCATCTTTTCCTCGGTTCACACACTTAGGTATTTATGAAAAGTGTTTTATTTTTTATTTTAAAATTCATTTGTAATTTGTAATTCACTTTGTTTTATATTAAAAGTTAGAATTGATTATTAAAATGAGAACATAACAGAGCAATTTAAAATCTTGTCATTTGTAACATTGAATTTGAAACTTTTAGCTCAATTTTGCAATTTTAGCCTTCAAATTTTTTTTACATTTTTCTCTGAATTTCATATTTAGCATAGTCTTATTTGATAAATCTCAATGATAGAGTTTCCAAAAACATAAATTTATTGAAAATAGAGACGTAAATAAAAAATATATCAAAATCTTAAGTTCTAAAAATTTTCAGAAAGTAAAACGTGTTGAATTTGCTGATATGTTACTGGGAGATGTGTATTTTGATCAGAATTTTTCCTACAAAATATTAGAGCATCTCCAAATGTGTGCTTATTTTAGGTATTAAACAATTAGTAGTGGTTGTATTTTAATCGTGATTTTGCCTTTTGTATTGGGAGTTGGTATATTCATCTCTTACTTTGGTGGTGGGTCTTTCTTTTGGATTGAGTTAAATTTGACCGGTAACCGATTACTCCAGAATCAGGGCCCACAAATACTATGATGTCCTACGATGCTTCCTTTTTTATGGATCAGAAAAAGAAAAATAGTAATGAAAATGTGTATTCCAGAGCTTCTAGTACTATCATTTGTTAATATGTTAAAATAGTTAAAATATTAAAAAGTCATTATAAATTGTTGTATCATTTATTATATTTTATTTTATTTTTACATATTTTTTCATAAAAAAGCTAAAAATTAAATAAAATAATCAATTCCCAAACTAGTTCCAAACATTTTTAAATTACTTAAGAATGAACGAAAGAAATTGAGATGAGAGATGGATAAAAATAAATTAAACACATTTGAGAGTGAGAGTTTACTTCGCTTAATTTATTCTATATTATAATGTGAGCACCGCAATTGGTATATAGATGAAAGTTTATGTAACATATTTTAATTTTTTAAATTACCCTAATATGATTAAATAATTATCGTCACATGATAAAAAATTGTTTAAATTCTCTGATAATTGTTTCTCGCTTTTTTGTTTGTGGCATGGGTGAAGGGAGAAGAATTAGAGGCATGGGTAATATTGATACACACATCGCGTGTCAACAACTAATAATGTATAATATTTATGGATTCATTTTTATACTTGATAAATATTTTAACCACTAATATTTTTATTGGAACAATTATATATTCATTAAATCAACAATTTCTTAATGCATAAAACGTATTACTTTCATTATTTTGTATCATTTAATACATTTTAACATTTTCATTCAAGGATAAAATATATATAATAAAGTAAGACTATTTTTGAAAATACATCAAAATGTATCAGAAATACATTTGATTTTAATGGTCTACATCAATCCTAAGTATGTATCAATAGTTCAGATACATTTAGTTCCCGCCAAAATATTTCTCTCCCTTAACTTTCCCACCTACCCACGTCTCCTCCCCATTCCTTCTTTATCTCTCTCTCCCTTGCTATTCTTACGTTTCCTCCACATTCCCTCTTTATCTCTCTTCCCCTCTCTGTTCTTTTTCTTGAACAGAACCACCAAAAACACCTGCCTCTCCACATTCTCTCTCTCTCTCTCTCTCTCTCTCTCTCCTCAAAACTTTCCTTTGTTTCTCCTATCTCTTTCATATGCTACTCTCTCTCTTTTTGCGACGACCATCGCCATCGTGACACCGACAACCACCTCTCATATTTTTGAACTGGTAGTGTATTTGGGTTTGGGTTTATGATTTTCATTAATCTATAAAAGAGCTTTCCATTCATTGGAAAACGAAAGAAAACAGAGGAGGATGTGAAATTGATGACTCTTACCTTTCTATGTGTGCCATTCATGATTCTATGAAAAAAAAAATTTAAAAAAAAAAAAAAAATGCCTTTCTTGACTAAGTGTCTGTGTGTATCTTTTTCACCTTGAGTTTTAAGTCCTGATTGAGAGATAGAATAGAAGTGATCATCTTTATTCCTCTAATTTCAATATTCTATTTATTTATATATTTACTTAAATAAGTTGTTGATTTACAGGTCTATCTCTCACTATGTTGTGCTCTGATTGCTTTGGTTCTGGGAGCTTATCTGCATATTGGAGGCCTCCTCATAACCTTTGGTTGCTTGGGAAGCAATGTTTGGCTACTCTTAACCTCTCCATATGAAGAGGTAGACATCTCTTTCTTTTGTGTTTTTTCGCACTATTTGTTGTTATTTTTTTGTTTTGCGTACATGATTTTAATTTTTATCTTTTCTTGGTAAGCAACAAAAGAGGGTTTTACTCTTGATGGCGGTTGCACTCTTTGAAGCGGCTTCAATTGGTCCACTAATCGAATTAGTTGTTGAAATTGATCCAAGGTAAATGTTCGTTCTATCTACTCTCTTACTTCTTTAGTGGTTTTGATAATTGTTTGTAATTGTGTTTCTTTCTTTTGCTTTTGTGGTTTGTGTGTTTTTTAGTATTATATACTGTTTAGGTGTAGTTTACATAGTGTGTGTGTCAATTTCCGACCACACTACCAATCAAGCACTTAGCTGGAGAACACTGGTAGAATAGATTAAGCCCGAACAACTTGTCACAAAAAGAAGAGATTCCGGCGGTGGTTCGTCCACCCGGGGGCACTTCGACAATCAAGTCAGTTATCTCTCAAAGATAGAAAGAGTGCTTAACTCACTATTCAGAGTATAAAAAGCATACATTAGACCAATGAAGGTGCCTCTCTTTTATAGTCAAGACAAACATAGTCTCAATAGAAGTCTAGCTTCAATGGACTAGGATTACTGTTAATTTTGATCTCCCAGTAGGATTGGGATAAACTCTTTAAGAGTCTTATCTTTACCCAAACTGAAGTCCTCTCCCATTCTAGGACTCTGGTCCCTTAGCCGCTAATCCCGGATTCCGATTTCTTCACAGATAACCTTGGCCTAGCCAAGATCATCTCTATCTCATGACCAAGACACGTGGCACCTCGGCTAGCACTTCGGTGACACCTCGGCCACATGTTGTCATTCAAAAATTATGTCCCCACAACTGCCCCATAGGTTCTATTACCTCAGCATCTTGAGGTGATGAAACCTATATCATTCATTCCTTTAATCATGACCTTGGTTTAACTTCAGTTTGTAAATTTTTCTTAAAATTTCAACAAGTATTAAACATGACCTCGGTTTAAGTTCAACTTGTAAATTTAAATTTCAACAAGTGTTAAACATGATTTCGATTTAACTTCAACTTGTAAATTTAAATTTCAACAAGTGTTAAGCACATCCTCGGTTTAACTTCAACTTGTAAATTTAAATTTTAATAAATTTAAATTTCAACAAGTGTTAAACACATCATCGGTTTAACTTCAACTTGTAAATTTTTAAAATTTCAACAAGTTTAAACATGACTTCGGTTTAACTTCAACTTGTAAATTTTTAAAATTTCAACAAGTGTTAAACATGACATCGGTTTAACTTCAACTTGTAAAATTTTAAAATTTCAACAAGTGTTAAACATGTCCTCGGTTTAATTTCAACTTGTAAATTTTTCTTAAAATTTCAGCAAGTGTTAAACATGACATCGGTTTAACTTCAACTTGTAAATTTTTCTTGAAATTTTAACAAGTGTTAAACCAACCTTAACTTGTAAATTCCAACTCTCAAGCATCATTCTCCAGCCCTCACTACAAGAATCTGCACTTTTAGCGACAACTTTTCGCGACCAATATAAAAGTTGATAGCTAAAAGTTACATTTTGGCGACCAAATGTTAATCAGTCGCGAATGAACATTATTTTTAGCGACCAAATATGAGTTGGCCGCAGAAGATCATATTTTGGCTACCAAAAAATGAGTTGATCGCAGAAAGTGATATGCTTTTGGCGACCAACTACAAATTTTGTCGCGGAAGGTCACATTTTGGCAATCAAAAAATAAGTTGGTCGCGGAAGATCAAAAATAAGTTGGTTGTGGAATTGGCGACCAAAATTTTAGTCGCCAAAAACTTATTTTCCCCGACCAAAAATATTTTAGTTGCCGTATATTGAGTTTTGGCTACTAAAACAATTTTAGTCGCCGAATGGAAAATAATTTTTTTTTTTTCTTTGACGACCAAAAATTTAGTCGCCAAAAACTTATTTTCAGCAACAACAAAAAAAAAATAGTCGCCAAATTAGTACTTTTAGCAACTAATATTTTAGTCGCCGTTGATTGGGATTTGGCGACTAAAAAAGTTTGTCGGTGAAGGTACATTTTCTGAGAGAAATCTGGTCTTTTGGTAACCAAAGTTTGGGAGGGAAATTTGAAACATGGAGGCAGGAATTGAAATTTTTTTGCGACAAAAAAATTTGGTCGCTGATTGTTAACACCAATTTTTTTTAGTATTTGGTCGCCAAAATTTTAATATTTTAATTATTTTTTTAATTGATTAAATTATTGAAAATTTTCAGTTATATATTGAAAAATTTAGTGTATTCTTTTAAGGAATAATTGCACCCAGTGGGATTTTAGGAAAACAATTACATGTTTATGAAAATGTTTATAATTGTAATTATTAATATTTATATTGTTTCTCATTGATTTATAATTGTTTTTTTCAAAATTATATTGATTTCATATTTTCCCTTCTTTTAATAATTTAATTTTAAATTTTTTTTTTAGATGTGCTTAATCTAAATAAAAAGTAAAATATTTATAAAAAAAAATACAATAAAATATAATATATATGAAGATATATTAAATTTTATATATTTTTTTTAATTTAGTGATTTTTCTAGAAAATTAAAAATATTCAGTGATTCAACCTCTCCACAATCTCCTCTCTGATTCAATGTCGACCTAGAAGTCCTCTCTGATTCAATGTCGACCTAGAAGCTGAAGAAGAAGAAGAAAAAGAAGAGGAGGAGGGGGAGACACGGTTGAAGAGGTCTCTTCTGTATTGTATACCCACTCTATTTAGGCACAGTGATAGTTTGTTAGGTCTCCTCTCTCACATACAACAAACACAACAAATCAACTATTTAGACAGTGCTCCATCTCCGTCTCGGTCGGCGATTGGGTCTCTCTCGCTCTAGATTCAGGTTCGTTCCTTCTCTGTCTGATCCTTGCTCTCTCTCTCTCGATCTTTCCCCCATCGAAGACACTTGCGAAGTCTTGACCTTCGTATTCTCAAGGTAATTTCTATATCTATTCTCTCTTCTTCATCGATTGAAATTTTGGAAATCGAAACCCTAGTTTCGAGTTTTTCTATGATTAGAGCTTAAATCATGTATACTTTGATGTAAGAGTTGCCTATTAGACAGTTATTCCATGTCACTCGTAGTAGATTATTTGATTGACTTGAACTGGTGTGTATTTGATTGCATTGCAGGATTTTGAGGAGTTGCAATATTATTGGACCATTACCTGAATATCTTGGGCCGATGACAAATTTGAAAACCCTGTTAGTAGATTTATACCTTTTCCCCCTTATCTACATTCGTAGTGATGCGACAAATAATTTTATGTTGTCAAATATCTCAGTTCATCACCACGTGTTGGTAGACTGTTCATCCCACTCCATTTGTGGACAATTCTCGTATAAAGTACAAAGCAAAAATAGTAGGCAACTGATGAACTGTGAATCTTTAAAGATGGCAACAAACACTTCTCATTTGGAAGAGTCTGAAAGTCATACAACTTCATGAGAATTTGAGTTCACCTTAGACACTATTATGCTGTAAAAAAATTTACTTCCGTTGTTATGAAACTTCAATTTATTGTACTGATTATCTGTTTTTGGTTTTTGACAACTGTTAAATAAGAAAAAAGAAGAAAGAAGTCATTTTGAAATCTACTTATCTATTATTTCTCTGGCAGAGATCTCAGCTTCAACAAGTGGAGAAATTCGAAGCAGCTTTGTCAGTCTGTCAAAAACAAACTACATGTATGTACACCGACATCTCATACTATTTTCTAAGTTTTGGTTGCTAATTTTTACTTGCCTGCAGTATGGTTAGAGCTGACCAAACTGCTTAAATTGTCCCATAAAGGGATGTTGTAGTAGAGAATCGATCAGTGGCCCAAAGCAACCAATCAAAGTTAAAAAGTAACACATTAAATTGATCAAGTGGTAAATCTACATAATTAGCAGCCTGAAATAAGCTAAATATAAGGCCAAGCTAATGGCCAAATCTCCTTGCTTTTCAGATCCTTTCACCTCTTGGTTATGAAACCAGCGAGAGATTTTAGGTGTAAAGCAGGATCACCGTACCATCATTTGGCCTAAAAGTCTTGTATTATCACATTGTCCTATACTAGGAGGCAAGAAATAGACAAATAGGTGGCTTTTAAGCCTCCTGAGAGATATCCAACTTTGTGTAATAAACAGTATATTTAGAAATTCCTACTTTGCAAAAGATAAAATAAGAAAGAACCTTTCCTGTCCTGCCTATACAACAAATGGAGAATAGCTTATGTTTTAAATTGTATTTCCTTTTATATGAATTAGGATAATTCTTTCATTTGAGTTATTTCAAAAGACAAACCAACTCTTACTTTAATGAATTAAACCTGCAAAGGTCACAAAGAAGCTTGTTACTCACAGTAGATGTTCTCTACACTCTTCTTACCTGACCATGTTCCTCACTCAAAAGAGAGGAATATGATTATCAGTAACTAATTCAGTGATATTGGATTTGTTTAGTTATTTAACCGGGAACTTACTAAGTGGACCCGTGCCTGATTGGATTTTGTAAAATGGAGAAAACATGTAAGTTATCTTCTAAAGCCATAGAGTGCCTTCTCTGTTGGTTTTCATGGGCATTAATTAATCCATTATTCATGTTGTGATTACACTTGTAGATTATTGATTGCTTATGGTTCTAGTCATTTATTGGTTGACTGCATTCCTTGGCATTGAATTTTCTGTGACTCTCTTGAAGTACACTTCATTATTCTTTAACGTTAAATTTTATCTATGTATTTGTTTGATGTAGATGTTGGTTCAATTTTTATTTTTTATTTTTTGTTTTCTTCATGGGCTCTATTACTTCTTGAACCTTGTGAACTTCGCTTGGATGAAAGAAGTCCTCATTGTAATTTGTGGGAACCCAGCGGTCTGGAAGATATGTGAATATTTTTCATTTGTATTGTATTGCCTCTACAAGAATATGACTTCTAATAACCAATCATCTTGGAAGTTGATAATCTGATCGTACCATCTTAGACAGGCCTCTAGCATGGGGTGAAAAGATTTTCCCTTTTATTCTCTTTCTCATAATTAACTAAATAAAATCCAATATGGCCACCTAAGTATTAGAAGCCAAGGATAGATCATAGCCTTTTCTTAGATTAGAGTGGTGTATATAGCAATTAAGACTTCAAGTGGTTTATTGCCACTGCCCATGTTACCAATCAAGTTATTAGTTAAGCTGAGTGGAAAATAATAAGTACCCACATAGAAGGCTGAGGTAAAATTGTTACGACTTAGAATTATTATTGTTCCCTTTTCAATTATGTCATCAACTAAAATGGATGAAAAATAGTTCTTATCTCATGTTATATTCAAGCCTGGGATGAATCATGGTGTGAATTCTCCATGCAGTGATCTTTCCTATAACAACTTTAGCTCGTTGGGCCCAAGTTGTCAACAAAGGACTATGTAAGATTACTTACAACTTAGAATTATTATCATTTCTCCAAAATCTTCTCTGAACTTTTCATTCTCTGTATTTTTATGCAAGAACTTATTTGAAAGCTCTTCAACGGGTAATATGTCGTAAGTTGTTAACCTTTTGTAAGCACCTTCATCATAAATTTATGTTGCTTTCATAATCCATTTGAGCATTGCTTCAAATTATGTTCTTGTTATAGCTCATATTATGACTCATTTTATGGTATGACATGATGCTGACTAGTTCATGATCTCACATTGTTGTGCCAGTGGTATTGTGTCCTGCTTGAGAAGCTTTCAGTGCCCACAAAGTAAGTTAAAATTTTATTTTTCCCAGTGTTTTTAAAGGCTCAAGGCGCACTAAGGCGCTGAAGGTCTCTCGGGGCCTAGGCGCAAGGCGAGGCGCGGGCTTTATTGAAGTAAGGCGCACAGTCTTCGTAAAAAATAGAAAAATTAATATAGGCTAATGATTCATAGTACTTAGACAATTTTTAAAAAAATAAAAAGTAATCAAGATTCAAGACAAAAATATAGAATAATTCTCAAAGCCATGAAAGTGCATATTACGTAACATTCCAATTTTCAAAGATCAAATGATCCACATTCAATAAAATAAAAACATAAACACTAAACATCCAAAACATAAATATCCTACAAATACTAATATATGTCTTAACACTTAAAAACATCAATATCAAAAGAAAGGATAGGTTTGGTCGATGTCAGTCAATCATCATCCTCAACACCATTGACATTGATCTCAACGACATCATCATCTTCATCTTCATCTTCATCTTCCATGTCCATGTCATCGAAATCAGGCAACATGTTCATTTCTTCTTTTTGTGTCTTTTTTTTTTTTACATAAACTCTCTAATCTCTTCTCTTACATGAGAAGGACACTTCAGGCAAGCAGTAGCATTCCTATAACCTCCCGCAAGGTGTTGTTTCACCCGATAAACACAACCATTTGATACTTTACCACAAAAATTATACTCAAACTTGTTTAAATTATTCTCCTCCACCAAATGGGCATATTACCACGCCGGATCTTTTCTATTACTTTCCGATATCATTTTCTACTTAGTACTTACTACATAACACAAAAAATAAATAACAGAAAAACAATTTCAGTATAATGAATGTAATGTATGTTATGTTATGTGATGAATTAATTAATGTATGTAATGTATGAATCAATTTTCTATTTTTTTAATTAATGATGAATTAATTAATTAATGTACATTACATTCCATTACATTCATTCTTATGTTACATTATTTTTTCTATTAATGTATGAATTAATTAATGTATGTAATGTAATGTATGAATTAATTAATGTTATGATTCAATTTTCTGTTTTTTTAATTAACTTATGAATCAATTTATGAATTAATTAATGTTATGATTCAATGTATGTAATGTAATGTATGTAATGTATAAATTAATTAACTTATGAATCAATTTTCTATTTTTTTAATTAATGATAAATTAATTAATTTCAGTATAATGATGAATCAATTTCAGTATAATCATAATGAATGTAATGTATCTATTTTTTTTATTTATGTATGTATGAATTAATTAATTAATTAATTTATTTATGTAATAATCATAATGAATGTAATAATCATTAATGAAAAAAAAAAGAAAAGAAAAAGAAAGTCGAAAGAAGAAGAAGCAAATAATTGAAATAATTAAAAAAAAAAAGAAAAGAAAAAATAGATCCACTGAAAAACAGACCCACTGAAGAAAAAATAGACTCAACTCAAATAATTGAAAAAAAAAAAAAAGCAAAACAAAAAACAGAGGAGACAAAAAACAAGAAGTCGAAGTTGAAGGCAAAGAAAAGAAAAGGAAAAAAAAAAATGAAAGTCGAACCAGTGTCGAAGACGAAGAAGAAAGAGGAGGGGAGAGAGAGTCGAACCTGTGAAGCCGAAGTCGATCCAGTGTCACAGTCGAAGTCCAGCTCTTATGTCGCAGTCATAGTTGCAGACGAAGTTCAGCTCCAGCAGCTCGAACTCGATTGCGAGGTGAAAGAGGAAAGACGACTTCGATTAGGGTTCATCTGAGTCCTATTTGGCTCATATGGTACATGAGTTCTAATCCTCTGTGATTACGAGCCATTCGAAAGGTTCATCTGAGTTGTTAGATCAGATCTACAGATTAAACACTCAGTCACGCCTAGGCGAGGGCCTTGCGTCTCTCTCGCCTTGCTCAAGTCGCGGCTAAGGCGCTCGCCTGGCTCAAGTCGCCTCGCCTGGTACCTGTACAGGTGCAGATGGTGCGCCTCGACTCGCCTTGCGCCTAGGCGCGACTTTGACAACACTGGTTTTTCCTTTGCATTGCTATTTGATTTGATTTCTCTGGTCATTTATATTGTCGTGAACTACATAGAAAAGCTTTAAGTTGCATAGGCACAGACAAGGGATACACATGACAAAACATGAATATGGCACATGAAAAATCCTAAAACAGTAAAATACGAACACATAAAGGACACAAAAAGTATAATATATATTTAGATAATATTAAAATAATATATATTTTTAGATAAATATATTTTTATTGTTTATCTGCATTTAATGATGGATAATCTTCTTAAATTTTTTTTCTTTTTGAGTGACCGATTGGTATTCTTTCCATATAAATTGTGGTGGTAAAGAGGTAACTCTTGATGGAAATACGAAATATGAAGCTGATACAGATTCAGGTGGTCCTTCAAGGTTCTTCTTAAGTGGAACTAACTGGGCATTTAGTAGCACTGGTTACTTCTTGGATTCCAGCAGCTCAGATTTCTTTATCTGCACAAATTCTTCAAGGCTCTCCATGAAGGATTCTGATTTGTATGTGAATGCATGACTTTCTCCTATATCTCTGACTTATTATGGTTTTTGTCTACTAAATGGAAGCTACACAGTAAATCTTCACTTTGCGGAAATCATGTTTACTGATGACAAAACATATAGCAGCCTTGGAAGGCGTATATTTGATGTTTACATTCAGGTAGATTTTTGCGATATACTACTAACCATTTATGTAGAAAGGTTTCCTTAGTTCTTTTTCTTTCTTCTTCTTTTTCTTTTTTTTCTTTTTTTTGGGGGGGGTAGAAAGGTTTCCTTAGTTCTTTTTCTTTCTTCTTGCTTGATGAAGTGTAATGCTTTGTTTGGGGGGGGCGGGGCTGGGTGTTTCTGTTGTTATTTGTAAATGGGTAATGTTGAAGTGAATGGGATCATGGTGGCTATGATGGTTAAGAAATGATTTCCATGCAATTTGTCATGACAATGCTTAATGAAGTGTAATGTTTTGTTTAGCAATTTTTATTTTTATTTTTTTGTATTGAGTTGCAAAATTGGAAAATGAATATGACTCATCTTTATTTTAAATGGAATTCAATTATTGTTTGATGATTTAGTGAAGTTATAAGAAAAGAAATTTGTTAATTATTGTTCCTAAGCTTTTTCTTTTTTAAATGTTATTGTTCCTTAATTGTGGTTGGGTTGAATGAATTTTATTCGATATTGGATTGAATGTTTATAAATAAAAATTGATTGTTCTAAAAAAAAATTAAAAAAAAATAAAGAAGAAGAAGAGAGATTTGGCGACTAAAAAATTGGTTGGCAAATTCTACACTTTTGCGACTAAAATCATTGGTCGGCAATGCCTTACCTTTTGGCGACTAAATTGTTAGTCGGCGATTTCTCGACTTTTGGCGATTAATCTGTTTGGTCGTGGAATATGACAATTGACAACTAAGATATTTAGTTGGGAAAATATCACTTTTCGCAACCAAAGTATTTTAGCGACAAAATGGATTAGTTGCAGTAATGATATATTTAGCGACTAAAAATTTAGTCGGTAAATCTAACTTTTTCCGACTAAAAAAAATTTGGTTGCAAATTACTTTTGTCGACCCTCAATTGGTGACCAAAGTAGCGATCAAAAAAATTGATCGTGGACAATTTTTGTTGACTGAAAATGGGCTTTTAGCGACTAATTTTTTGGTCGGCAAAGGTGTTATTTTTTGTAGTGCCTCTGCCCCCGCGTGTCTTCTTCGACCCTTGCATACTTCTTAATTCTGGCCATGAGTTTCTCCATGTTCTTTGGCAGTGTCTTTGTTAGTGATTTTCGTAACAGACAGTTATCTTTCAGGTCGTTCTTAAAGGACACGATCGCCATCTCTTGGTTGCATCTTGGTATTCGGTTGAACACCTCGTAATACCTTTTGGCATAAGCTCTAAGGCTTTCATCCTCACTGATTCTCAGGGCCATCAGGGAGTCCACCTTTAATGGCTGTAGTTTGTTTGTCACAAACCTGGCCACGAACATCTCGGCCAGGCCCTCACAGGTTTTCACAGTTCCTTTCGGTAACTTGTGAAACCAGTCCGATGCGATTTCTCCAAAGGACGAGGGGAATACCTTATAGAGTAACGGCTCGTTCCCAGTGTATAATGCCATCGAGTTCAGGTACAAGCTGACGTGAAAGTTTGGGTCCGACTTACCGTCATATATCTGGAACCTCGGCATGTGAAACCTCTTTGGGGCTTCGAATTTGTTCAATTTTACCGAAAACGGTGTTCTCGGCTTGACCGGGGAAGTCACCTCGGCATCCTGTCGCTTTCTCTGGAGGTAATCCCTCAGATCCTCCTTGGTTCGTCCAGGAGCTCGACTATCTCTGGATTTTAGCCTTTTTGGTGCACTACTTCCAGTGGCGTTGTGAAACTTTTTGGACCTCCCTCTATTGATCGTGTTGAAACAGAGTTCCTTCCCCTGAATATCCCGATGTTCTTTGGTGCATGTTTCTTTTGTTCAACGTGTCTTCTGGGATTCTCCATGCTCGACCTCCCACGAAGGCTGATGAGAATGTCCCTTGGTCCCGCCATGGTGAGGGACTGCAGGAACCATTTTTTGCCCCCCTTTTTGGGCACCTTTCTTGGCCGCTGGAATCGGCGTATCTTGTAGCGGGAACAGTGGCTGCATGACGTTCTGCATCATGAAATTGACGATCGTTTGCAGGTTCGCCAATTTGTCCGCCATTCCCTTCATCCCGTCGTCCCTTCGCAGGCATTTATCTTTCCATACCTGGAGGTCGTCTTCGTTATAATACCCGTTCCGGTTCGATTTCTTTGGTACGCCGCCCTCCTGGCCGACGTCCTTTCCTCCGTGATTCTTATCACGAGTCTCTTCGTTGTAGTTGTCTTCTTCGACGTCAAGGTCAATATGTTTCTCACTCTCAGTAGGAGTGTCGTCCCCAACCTTCTTTTTTTGTCCGTCGTTGGCCATCTATTCTGCTTTCTTTCCCACAGACAGCGCCAAATTGTGTGTGTCAATTTCCGACCACACTGTCAATCAAGCACTCAGCTGGAGAACACTAGCAGAATAGATTAAGCCCGAACGACCTGTCACAAAAAGAAGAGATTCTGGCGGTGGTTCGTCCACCCGGGGGCACTTCGACGATTAAGTCAGTTATCTCTCAAAGATAGCAAAAGTGCTTAACTCACTATTTAGAGCATAAAAAGCATACCTTAGACCCATGAGGGTGCCTCTCTTTTATAGCCAACACAAACATAATCCCCATAGAAGCCTAGCTTCAATGGGTTTTGGATTACTGCTAATCTTGGACTCCTAATAGGATTGGGATAAACTCTCTAAGAGTCTTATCTTTACCCAAACTGAAGTCCTCTCCTATTCTAGGACTCTTGTCCTTTATCCGCTTATCTCGGATTCCGATTTCTTCACAGATAACCTCGGCTTAGCCGAGATCATCTCGGTGTCATGACCAAGACACGTAGCACCTCGGCTGGCACTTTGGTGACACCTCGGTCACATGTTGTCATTCAAAAATTATGTCCCCACACATAGTATAGCCCATGTGTCAATGAGAGTAACTTTTGTGCCTTTATTGGCCTAAAATCTTATTTTTGTGGGTTTTTGAACTTTTAAAAATTTGTAGTGGGTTTTGTAATTTTCTGAATTTCTGTTTTTGTTATGTTGTACACAACTTGAGACAATAAAGAGCCAAATAAATGGCAAAATTTCTAACCAGATTGAAACAAAGGAAGTGTGAATACAGGAATTTACTGTGAAAATTAGTTTTTAAAGTTTCATTCTGGTATTTGTATTAATGAAATTGATTATTTGTCGTGATTCGTGAACGGTTAATGGAAATATTATTAATCTAAAATTTTTTGTTATTTGATTTATAGTTGTGCAACTTGCTATCACTAGAATGTTGTGTTGAACTTTTTGTCTATCTATTTCATGACCTTATGAGGAGGATATAGTTCTTTTTCATTTATTAGTACAATAATAGCATACCTTAAGTATCGGTTTATTGTTGTTTTCGGTTAATTCAATGGATCTGTTGAATTTACATTGCTTTGAGACTGTCTCCTTATTTCTCTCTCTAAAAATTCACTATCTTCATTGGTTTTTCTTCAGTTTTTCACTTTTTTGTGGGTCATTGAGAATCCGGAGGCTTCAAGGTTACGTACATTTTTAGGGTTATTTTAGATTATTTATGAGTCATTTAGATTACGTTTCATATTATTATTATTAGAATTCCATTCTCTCAAACCCATATTTTTTAAAATCAATCTAATACATTTTATTTGAATTCCATTCTCCACAATTAATTACAATCCATCCTCCACAATTAATTAAACTCATATCATTCTCTCTCTTACGAGCCTCTCACGGGTCATTTGTTTATTAAACTCATCCAAGCACCAAGAATTTTGTTATCCACCCGACATATAATCGGATCTATATTTGAATTGGTAGTGTATTTGGGTTTAGGTTTGTGATTTTCATTAACTGGGTTATGACTCCCATTCGAAGTACAAACTTGAAAAAAAATGGAGTTCAAATAGGAAGAGAGAGATAACTCTCTGCTAAACAAAGAACAAAAGCAAGAAGAAGAAAAGAAAAGCAAAAGGAATGGGGGGCAACTCACGTGGGTCTGCTTTCCTTTCTTAAGAATAGTGTTTGTTTTTATATTAAATTGATAATCTATATAATAAAAAAAGATTGAAATTACAATTATATTAAATTGATAATTGATAATTTATTAAATAATATTAAAATTACAATTATATTTTAATCTTAACATTATTTATACTAGACATATGCTAGTATTTTATATTACGTGATTAAGATGGCATAATGTATTTTTGTTTTTACTCATTAATTTGACATGCAATAAAAAGTGCGATCAAAATTTGATGTGACCAAAGATCCAACATCTCGAGCTGAGCGCATTATGTGATAAAAAGTGCAATCAAGATTTGGTATTGTCAAATACTCAACATCTCGGACCGAGTATAAAGCAACTCCTCGTATCCCTTTTTTGTTTGTTTTTTTTTTTTTTCTTTTTGTTGGTATATGTTAATTAATAAATAGAAGAGTATACGATGTTAGCCTCAATCATGTGATGTACCCATTACATACAATGTTTTCTTCTATTAGAGATGATCTTAAAAGATTCAAACTAACCATTTTTTTAAATTTTTTTATTTTAGTATAAAGCTTTACAATTCTTTTTTTTTTTTTTTAATTTTAAAAACACTAATTAATATATCAGTTAAACATAATGTCTAAGTGATATACCCAAATACTTGTCATATATTTTAATTGGACAATTACTTATCAATTATGCAAGTAACACCTACATTTTCATAACTTTTTACCTATTTCCCATCATAAAATTATTCGTACTTTTCATATTTTTATAATTTCTTTTCTACTTCACCGTTAAGTAATTTCTTTATTTTAATCGATATTTTTATTGATAGTAATATTACGTAGTGTTTTTTTATATGAAATTAACAAACCACAAAAAAACAACCCTCATAATCCAAGCCACAATAATCAATAAAATCTGACATATATGATTACAATCAACCAATTATTGGAAAAATTCTATTTCCACACGTTAAATTATCTCTATATACATCTTTTCTCAATCCACACATTTAATAATTTAATTTTTACTTTTTTATCTCAGTCCACACACTTCACATTCCAAATATACCGTCACATTC